TTGTAATGAAAACTCGTACAAATACAATGAAGAAGGCTTTGATTAATTAATTGGAGTTTGTATTTTTAGGGAGTATCTTCCATCTGCAGATCGCAGGATTGTTGATACAGTGGTGTGATTTCAAAGGAATGGGATGTGAGATTTCAGAAATTTATTTTATTGGTGTTGGGATTCATTTCTTTAGAATCTTGCTGTATATATTTTTTTTAAATTCTCGCTTATGGAATGTTGTAAATTACGTTTGTTTTAAATTACTGAGATGTATCGCCATCGCCACCGATCAAACCTATATAAATAAAAACGAATTTCAGTTCGTTAGACTTGATAACACTCGAGAACGGCGGAACCAATTTGGCAAATTTTGAACTTGAAATGCTTTTTTAAGTCCAGGGGACGTTTAAAAAGTTAGAAAAAATTGTAGGTGGTATTCATTTATATACTTTTACTGTAATATACCGATAGCTAATGAATCTGTTCTAAATACTATAGGTATCTATAAATGCCCACACAATAATAAATTCAATCTTCCTTGAACCAATCTCAGGAGATTTTTCCGCGCTAAGAATTTTCGTAAACGCAATAACGTCCTAAGTTTAGCTTAGACTACCGCACAATCTGTAGGTACCCACTACCTACGAGTAGTATGGTCATTCCCAATAGAGCACTTGGACTTACAACTTAGAAAAGATAAAATGTAATATTTTTTTCTCTCAACTTAAAAATATTACGACTAAACCCTTTTTATACAGGAATAGTACCTAAGCGTAGTGATCATTGACTATCGTAACGTCAGTATACAGACATGTATACTGACGTTTGTTGTAAAAACAAAAAATATTTCGAGATAAGAATCCATAATTTACTCCTGATGTGAAAACCCAAGCAAAATGTATTTTTTGTTTCTTTCCTTTTTTTTAAAACGTTGCCCCACACTAGCATTTTCTTCTCTGTCCTGGGTGCGTTTATAATACTAGTACCTCTCATGAGGAAGAACCCCTCTGTGGTTCGAAACTAGTAGAGCGTTTCTTAGTATATTCACGTGAGTAACCAGCGATTTTTAGTAATTTAGTATGTCTCACGACAGTTATTATAATAACATACAAGTTCACATACACGTCACACTCAGACCCAGAACAACAATCTGTGGATCACACAAAGAGTTGGTTCGTGCGGGAATCGAACCCTTGACACGTTGCGCGGCAGCCTGTTGCCCAGCCAGTTACCAACCGTGTAGTTTTTTTTAAATAATTTTCTATTGTATAATTTTTTGTTGCCGAAGGTTTTCATTAAGTATCAATTTATCGATAAAGCCTACAAAAGTACTGAACTTACTGAAATAATAATGAAACAGTCTCGCCTAGAAGCCTTGTAGGTTCTATTGTAACTGGCTGAATAGCTGAAGACGTTGTTAATAGTTAATTAAATCTTCAATTATGGTGTAAATAAATAATAAAGAAATTTTATATTAAATTATAGAATTTTATTATTCGACATTGATTATTCTAAACCACTATATCCTATCACTGTTTCGGTGGTCGAGTGGTTGCAAGTGCGACTGCTGGGCAACGGGTCTCGGGTTCGATTCCCGGGTTGGCTAAAGCATTACTGGGTTTTAAATGAAATCTGGAATTGTGCCCGGTATATGCCAATAGGCTTTTATTGACAGGTAACTGACGTATTAACGAGTAACATAGGCTATTTTTATATTTTAGAAAAAATAACGTTCTAATATTCATATTGTACGCCGATGAAGTCACGGACAATAGATAGAACTTAAATATAATAAGGGGCATTTTGATCAAGTATACATACATTTATTTATATATTTACAAGGAATCATCCATCAAGTAACGTCGGAAACTGAATAGTCCATCGTTAGATCGAAATTAAGGTTTATTTATAAGGTTATGACTATACTATGACTGACTATAAATGTTGTGGTAGCCCCGAGGTTAAGGCGCCCGATTCTCATGCATGAGAGTGCGGGTTCGAAACCTACCAACAGCAAGAACCAATGTGACTTTTTCCGAGTTATATATACTTTCTAAGATTACTTAAGATTAATGCTCAAACCTTCTCACTTATAGGCCGTTGATGAATGAAAGAATGTTGGCGTCGCACCGACGTAATGCAGGTATAGTTAGTATACCGGGATTGCGGAGAACCGCAAGGGTTCTGGCTCGAGGCAGGAATAGGAACGGGTTGGTTTTGGTCAGTAAGAGCCTGAGATTCTCTCTCGTCTCACCCAGGGCGGGAGGAGCTTTGATGATTTTCTTCTGTCAAAGTAGGTTAAGTTGGCTATAGTATATATAGTGTACCAAGTATACCTAGTATTATACCTATTCTCAGAGACAAAACCAAGCTGAACTGAGTCAAAATTTCCACGTAAAATATACTTGGTTAAGATAGAAGGTAAGGTAATTTCACCAACGAGCTGTTTCATAAAAGAGATTTACAGCTGAATTTGGTTAAGGCAGCTTCGTTCTCGTCTAGTGCAAATGACTTTCTTCAAACACTGGACTGAATAAAGAAAATTTTAGAACTTCATGTTTAGTACCGAATTTAAAATAAGTAAATCAAGTTTTTGTATTAAAAATTGTGACAAGAATCGTCGAATGATATAGTGTCAATGTTTTAGTTTTCCTTATTAAGAAATTAGCTGATAAACGAGCTAACGGATCACTTGATGGTAAGCAATGGATACGCAAAATACCAGAGGTGTTATAAATGCGTTATCGGCCTTTTGGCGATTTGGAATTTGAGGATTGTTGGGGATTCAGGGATTGGGGAGATTGGGGAAGGGGCGGTAACCTCAATCATACAACAAAACACAACGTAAGTGTTGTTTCACGTTAGTTTTCTGTGAGGCCGTGGTATCACTCCAGTCGAGCCCGGCCCATTCGTGATGAAGCATGGCTCTCCCAAACTTCATCCAAAATCGACATTCATAAATTTTATCGTACAATTTCCTTAGGGAACTGTTCATAACTTCTTTTTTTAGTCGCCTTATAGTTGATATGGGTCAAAATATTCTATAAAAATATTAAATAATTTCAATGATATTATAAGGGAAAATTATAAATCAATTTCGCCGTCAGAATTCTCAGCAATTTAATGCTTTCGTGGAACTAAGCAGAAACAAGGCTGGCTCGTTACGGCTGCATGCAGTTTTAATCGAAGCTAGAACTTGCCTTCAGCTGTTCACTCAGATATTGATTAATTGACGCAACATTTCTCTTAGAGTTTTATATTTTTACTCCTCTTTTTATTACCTCAATAGTTGATTAAAAATCACTGCTGAATATCAAAATTGGCTGCATAAAATAAGTCTTATATCTTACCGTGAAAAATGTCTTATATTTAACCAGAGTTTGATATATGTAGTTTATTTTATGCTTTTTCTAATTGTTTTTTATTTGAAAGGCGGCGGACTGGATATATCTGAAGGTAGTATTAATATCATTCAATGTCTATAAATTTGCTAAATAATAGCAATAAGCAATATTCGTCTATTCTCCACAATCAAATAATTTGTTCGCGGGGTTAACATAAGGTTTAATTTTGAATATTTTATCAGGATTATACTACGTACGTAACACAACTGAATGAGTATCTATAACGATTATCAGTTTCACATGAATTAAAGTTAGAACGCATTTATTCTAATTCCAAGTCAATACATAGTTTAGCTTTTAAAATTAAATTTAACAGAAAGTCGGTCAACGAGGTCCTATAACTAATTATAGTAGTAATTACAATGTGGTTACGTGTGTTTAGTGGGCAGCTATGATTAGTACCTAATAATGTATTAGCTTGTATCGAGTATCCAATATCTGATTAGGTTTTCAATACTAATTTCAAAATAAATTTATTAGAATTAGTTCGGGTGTATATCGTGTAGGTGGACGTAGGTCAATGACACGACCTTTGATTTTAATCGTTGGGTTGTAGTGTAATCTTAAATCTTTCACAATAATTGAGATTAATTCAAGTTCACTCGCTTATCCTTTTCGTATTAAAAAATACAAGTTATAACCATATTATTAATATCACAAAAAATAATAACTTCATCGTAATTTCTAGAAATACTTCTTCTATCTTATTATGCTAAGAAAAATAATTCGAATAACCATAGAACAAGGATAACATAGAATTATTACTTAAGTAGTTTTTAACATAATTATAAGAATATTTTTTGTAGCCTAAGACTAAATATTGCTTTGAGCATATTAAATTACGTTAAGAGTCTATTATTCTTAATTTAATTGAAGTAAAATATTAATATGGAAGTTTTTTTTATCTAGGTACTTATTTCTTTATCTTGAGAATTGTTCTTTCATATTATAACCTTTAGCGTATTATATTAAGATAGTATTCTGCTGTTATTCCATTTTTCTCTGTTTTGTTTTTGTTCTTAATTAGTCTTTAGGTAAGTCTATTGTCGGCGCATTAGTATGGCCATCGACCATAGAGGCGGCGACGCGCGGTATGGGGTATAAAAACATTAAGTAGGTTTAATTACAAATCAGAATCAAGACCAGCAGCGCACCGACGCAAAGAAATACCCGAAAGCTTTGGCGTGAGTTAGCGGAGTGTGTGGATGAAGAAGCGTGGCCCGTGGGCTTTTATACTCCCATCCCGCGCGTCGTCGCCTCTATGGTCGATGGTTATACTAATGTGCCGACATCTATCTTGTAGGTTTTTGATAGAAATTGTGTAGAATTGCGAGTCTCGGGTGTTAGATACTTAAATCGGATGAAAAGTGTTTTAGTATAAATGTATTGTAACCAATTTTCTATATTAACATAAGCCAAGCATTGGCTTGAAATAAAAAAAAATACACCATTATTGCACTCTTATCGAATTATGAGTAAATAGTATTTTTTTTATAGTTCCTTATCTAAGACAGCTAAATTGTCTTTACATTAGAACTAAGTTACGACAGACCCGTATCACAATCACAGAAATGTCCACTATACTAACAGAAACTTTCTTTGCAGATAAAGCGCCGTCCGAGGCAACGTTTCGCGGCGCAGAGTTTCTATCATACGATTTGACGCAAACCGGAGGGGAGCCCATAGTCAGTACACAAGATGCCATCTCCTTGTACTTCAAGACGAGGCAGCCTAATGGACTGCTCTTTTACACTGGTAAGACATCGCCTTTGCTGTACTTTTGAGTGTTTTAAAAGCATTCGTTTTGATGTAGAAGTGAATAGTGCGGTTGCTCTAAATCTTGTGATGGAAAGTTATTTCGCATTTGTTCTAAATTCTACGTGTCTAGTTAGGTCTTGGTCTAATATCTTTATAACAAAATAAGTGATTATTATTTCCGTTAAGTCGGTCTGAGGATAACATTTAAAATATAAGAAGTGAGTAGGGTATAGTTCACTATGCACTTATCCATTCTAGTTACATTAAACGACACACACTGTTTTTAACTTAAAATTACTAAGCATGTTACACAAAATTATCTAAATCTACATATAGACTACTTCTTTTAATAAAACTAAATCTTAATAAGTTCTGAACACTAGACTACATACTAAGTTTAATGTCGCAACTTATTCTGAATTCACTAAAGACTTTCTCGAGCTAGAATAAGAGGTACGAGGATTTATAAAGGGTAATTGACTTAACGAAGTCCTTTGAATTCAGGTCATGAGGCTGATTACCTGAACCTGGCTGTGCGAGATGGAGGAGTGTCACTTACGATGGGCCTGGGGAATGGCAAACAGGAGATGCACATTAAACCAGCTAAGACGAGGTTCGATGACCACCAGTGGCATAAGCTGACTGTACATCGGAGGATACAGGAGGTAAGGTTTCTAATTGTATTGGTATTATGTATGTAGTTGTTTCTGACAAACTCGAATTGAGGTCGATCCTCACTAGACATGTAATAATTATTATATTACATAGGAAAATACTAGAAATACTGTTGTATGATGAAATTTGAAAAAGGTTGTCAACTATGTGACCGAATACGTCGTTTGTCGAATGTCCAGAAGTGCGATTGTCGAACTAAGACTTCATGGTTACGATTTCCGAGTCACGCAATGCTCTATTGGGGTTCAAAAACCTCTCAGTAATAGTACGGAGTCTAGAAAAGTTCCTTATGTTATTGTTTGCTCTGAGTAAATTTAAAGCGTGGACAAGGTTCTGAGTTACATGTTTTTCTTTCTCGAAGACCTATACTTTATTGAAGATTCCGTTAAGATGTTCCGACATATTTATTAATGTTGTATTTACATATTTATTTATGACCTTACACTTGACCTGCGATTCCCCCACCTTGAACCCAAATCGATATTACAATATTACGACTTATAGCCTATTGGCGTGTTCTATCTAAAACCCATTTATCATTTATAGTATTTCTGGAAAAACAATACTGATTCATATCCTAGTAATTTGATTGGTCAAGACGAAATGTTAGTTTTTTGGAATATTGGTTGATGAGCAAATAATGAGGTTCTAGCCGTTCTAGGTTCAATAATGTATTAAGTAGGTAATGTAAAGTTCGGTAAGGCATAATGTGACCTATTTGTTATACATGAGGTATCAAATTCGAATACCAAGTTGGGGCAAATATAGGCGACGAGATTGGCAGAAGTTCATTCACAACAGTATACCCATTTTTACTACTTTTGTTATGATTTGAAGACACAATTCTAGATTGTTCTAAAATAAGTGCTATATTGAGGTGTTCAATAGTCACATTTGATGCCTAAAAAGTAAACTGATTTTACCTTACACAGCCTGTTTAAATAATAAAGTAAAATCTAATTCATTTCTTAGTCCTCCAAGTGTTTTGGTATGCCGAACGTTTTTGGTGTGCCGAATTAGTGGAAATCGATCTTATGACCTACGTAATTGGGGTAATTTTGCGGCGATAAATTTCGTTGGCGGTGGAATTGAGTGTGTTTCCTGTGTCGGCTCGAAGTTGTGGAGTGTTTGAACGATCACCGTTCTACTGGAACGTGGGTAATTAATTAAGGAGGATGCATGACGGGACATGAGTTCTTTGAACATATTTTGATAGCTTGATGGACGGCTGATGTACTTTGTTCAATTGGAAGTATAAATTTTAAGACTATTCTGTTTGTATTTTGTCCATGTTTTTGAAATGGTTAGATCGCACGCAGATTTTTAAGAAACTACTCAATTTTACGACTTTGAAACACTGATTTTAACAACATTATTCCATTAGCACTTTTCGTACAAAACAGAAATCACACTCATTATACCTATAGAAACAGTACATATAATTCAAATATCGAATAAGTTAACGCATCTATGCTTACCTTTTTTTTTTTTTTTTGATGACTGGGGGAAACCTTCAAAAGGCGCCCAGCCTTTTTGGGGATAAAAGACTAGGGAGTGTGGGATTTTTACCTCACTAAAACCACCCCGGTGGCCACCCTCAACACCTAATGGAGGCACCGGGTCCTCTATAAGAGACCTGCTCCGGCGCCTCCACGGTGCAACGCCTGTTACGACACATCCCTAGGGAGACGGGTGTCTCCTTTAAGCCTTGCTGTCTACGGCGGCACGTGACCACTGTGCCACCGTCTTCCCTGAGACCACAAGGTGGGCACCTAGAGTCCCCACTCTACGCACCCGTGGCCCCAAAGGTCCGCCTGAAGTTTATGCAGGCGGGATTTCGGCGTGTTAGGCATCAAGGTGGTTACCTCCTCGACGCCTTCTACGAGCAGGATCGGCCCTCTCGCGACCCCGCTCACCAGCTTCCTTTTGGGACATTACAGTCTCACAAAACGAGACTACTTCCCTCCAATTTTCTGTATCTGCCAGCATAGCCTTAACTACGGCTGGTAGAGACAGGCCTCGCCCGATCTTGGCAACCAGGACCCGCCGCTCAGAGGCCCATGCTGAGCACTCCTCGAGCGTGTGCTGTGCGGAATCCAGGTCACCCCCGCAGTGGTGGCAATTTGTCGTGGCCTCTCGCCCAATCCTGTTTAGGTACTCACCAAAGCAACCGTGACCGGTCAGCACCTGAGTAAGCCTGAAGGAGACACGCTCCTCTCTCTTCTGCCAGACTTCGAAGTGCGGCAGAATGGCTTCGACAACGCGCTTACATGAGATCTCCGGCTTTTGTAGCCGCTCGCTCCACCGTTCAAGCGCGTGTCGCCTTTCCTGCCGTCTCAGCCTAACGAACGCCACTCCTGGCACTCTACCGCCATTTTGGCGGACAGCACGAATTTGTTCGTAAACTTTGGCATCCATATCCGCCAGGATATCCAATGGCGGATCTATGCTTACCTTAACGTCACAAAAACGTTACCATAAATCCGATTTCATAATTTCACTCATTCGAATAAAACATTTTAACCTTCCACAATGACATAACCAAATTATGAAAAAAAAACATCGACGTTGCATTTCATAATTTCGCTTTCAGTATTTAATTTTTATCCTCAAGCCTGACATGATTACGTGTACTCTGAAAAGCTGAAACGTCGGAAAAACAAAATTGAACAATAAATGTGAAGTAATTTTATAGGTAGTTGGTTTTATCCGTTCTCGGCGCTGATGAGAGGCAGCGACGAAATATTAAAGCATTGTTCGTTAATGAAAAGTGAAACTAAAGTTTGTTTTATCGAAGAGCCTTGTTATGCAATTGGGGCTTTTTGTTTGCACACATTATTAATGGTGTACGTATAAACTCATTTCTTTTTACGTCTATAATTCTTTTTATGGTGGAATTGTTACATACTTTAGTCCACTTTCCATTTAGGATCGGGGTGTACAATAATAAGAAAAATCCTAACATGGATTCAGACCAGGTCACATCAGATCAAGTGTTATTATTATTTACTGAATTTTTATTAAAGCTATCTTAAAAAAATCTTACAATACCTCAACAAACAGAAAACAGTTCTCTCACATCACTCTACCAATAACACACACCATTCAAGTGAACTAGACATAGTGAACGAGGCACAAACCGCCAGTAAATAGTTTATTTACGTACCGCGTGTGAGGCCCACCATCCCTAGCCATTCCGTTATCGTTAATTATGTATTTATGTGGGCCTTTCTCATTCTTTGAGAATATTGGAAGCTTATCGGGACTGCCCACGGTTGGACTTGGACTACTGGCCTGGATTCAATGCGTAGATTTATGGACTTCAAGCAATGTGATAGATTAGGTTTTTGCCCGCGTTTTAGGGTCAACGTTCGGTGTGGTCCTTCGATACGAGATTTGGGCGGTTATGATTTGGGTTTGGCATTTGATCGAGATTAGTGATTTTTGGAGAAATATGGTTAATCTTTTAAGGGTTTCCGTGTGTGTTGAGGCTGTTGGAGAATGAATGACCATTCTTTTGGCTGGATAACGTATAGAACTAATCGAAATTTTTATATACACGCTTAAATTGATGCTAATACTGGCATTCTGATAAATGTCAATCAATGTAGTTTTAACACGTTACGACGAAGTTTGCTGTAGTATTTTTTGGTAATAATATTTTTTTGTTTAATAATTTCCAAGATGTATCGAATTTCTAATACAAACACTGATAATGCCTATTCAAATTCGAGCTTTAAATTCTTTTTATTTAGATATCATTTCACGTAGCACATTGTATCGCATACTAATGAAGCTTATTATTGTTTCAGATCACGCCGTTTACGAGTTTCTGCAGGGTGAGTTGTGTTAATTAATATTGTTAGCAAATCTTCCTTAACACTTCCGCTATCTTTGTCCTTTAGAACGAAAGGGGTAACTGATTAAAATTGTGAATTTTGAAGGCATTTCGAAAATTGTTTCGTTTTAAAATAAGATCGTTTGTTTTTGGTATGACACCCAGAAAGTTTAATTGGGGACTTATTGTATATAAAATGTTGTATTATTCAACCGTATTAGATAGATGTTACAAACATTATTAATAAATGAATAACTGAAGTCCGTATATGTATATTTATGATGGTATTTTAATTTTCGTAATATAGGTAAGTAGCATAGCCTGGGAGTAAGAGTAGGTACAATAGCAACAAATTAAAGCATATTTAAGCAATACAGGCCAAGCCATTCATTCAATAAAGTAGTAAATATACGTTAAACAAATCTGCAAAATCTTTTTTAGGTATCTCACGTCAATTCCAGGAGTATTTATTTTTCTAATCTAATCTATATATATAAAAATGAAACCCGTTTCCCGTTGTCACGCCATAATCTGAGAACGGCAAGACAGATTTGTCTGATTTTTTGTTGTTTTTTTAATTGACAGGAGAAGGTTCTTATGGCAGAAAAAGATCCTAAAAATCCTACGGGAGAAAACGGGATTGCGCGTACCAAGTCGCGGGTAGAAGATAGTAAACACTAAAACTTCATTTCTTTTTAAGGTTTTCTTTATCAAAGCAATTATTATTGTCAATTTGCATAAGTAGTGACTGTAGGGTTGTTCCAGGAATCATACAACTTATTGCTACGGCACTCGCTCACAAATATGAATTCTCTAGAATTCAAAATTCATTTTACGATAGGTAGACAATTTGATTCAATTCGGGAAAGGTCGTTATGGAAACTAAGTAATTTTGCTAATGTTTTGTTCTTCATAGGAACTGGGTTTCAAGTTATGTAGATTTTGTATGTTCGTCGGTCGCAAAAGCAACTGCTGAGCTGGAGATTTTAAAACGAGATAAACCGGTACATGAGCAGACGGATCACCTGATGGTAAGCAATCAGACACCTGGAGGCGTTACGAGTACGTTACTAGCCTTTTGGAGATTAGGAATTTGAAAATTGTTGGGGTTTCAGGGATTGGGGAGATTGGGGCCCCTTCCCCTTCTCCCTTCCCTTGGGAGGGGGGTAATTGGGCCTCCGGTAACCTAACTCACACGACGAAATACAACGCAAGCATTTTTTCAAGTCATATTTCTATGGGGCCGGTCGACCCGACCCATTTGTGCCGAAGCATGGCTCTCCCAAACTTATTGACAAATAGTTATGCAGTAAAATAATTATAACAGTTTCTTAAAAATAATGGTCATTAACAGCCCTAAAGATATAAAATGTCACTGATTCAAATCTAAATTCCCTTACGAAAGCTTAAATATCAATTTATATTATCAGTTTATATCATTCTTCCTACTTCTTCTTATTCCAGTCGCAGAGACTTAAATGAAAAGAAAGAGAGTCTGTAAAACTCCATCCAGGCGGTGAAAGTTAAAAATAGTTCCTGAATTAAAACTTGCGTGATTTAAAAGAGTCGTTTTGCGATAATGGGGGCGCCACTGTCGATGAATAGATGGCTCACAATGGACCCTTCACAATAGTATAGAGGTGAAGTAGAAATTTATATGTGAATGAGTTATATTACGGAATAAACTGATGCAATTTGTGTGAGGTAATGGATAGATGAGTGATGACCACGATGAGTTAATATTAAGAATATTTTATCTAAAAGTATTTTTTATTTGAAGTTGTTTAAGCATCAGCTGTCAGACTACTGTATTTTCTAAATTAAACATTTACTCAATAGTAAATCCCGATAGGCAGATATTAGGCATTATTATGGAGATGCTGTAAGCAAAAAATTTAAGCATTACGCTATTATTTGCATATAACCGTTATTATTAGTTAATTTAGTATGTGTCATGATAGTTATTATAAAAAGTTGTCATCGATAGTTCCACGAAACTAGTAAAGCTTTTCTCAGTATATTTACGTAATATTTTTAGTTCATTGACAACTAAGTTAAACATTATTGGTGTACTTTTTCATCAAAAGCCTATAAATACCCACTGCTGAGCAAAACCTCTTCTCATACGGAGAAGGGTTGAGCATTAATCACCACGCTTGCTCATTGCGGGTTGGCGATTGCAAACTTATAATCAGAAATTATAAGCCCAGGTTTCCTCACGATATTTTACTATACCATTTATCAGTGGCGTCTAAATAATCTTAGAAAGTTCATATAACGTCGCATTGATACTTTTCACTGTTTTCACTTTTCTATGAGAAGCGGGCGTCTTAACCTCCGGGCTACCACGGCTTGGTGTACTTTTTACCAACGCCAACATTTCGCAATGGATCATGGTGATAATGTGAAACGTCAAAAAACTGCATAAGTGCAAAAAATACCCGTACGTATCACATACTGCAGAATGACACAGTACACACCACCTCATCTAAACCTGTCACTACCAGTAACTAGATTAATGAAACAAAGGACCACAATATCCATTATCTTGATTTTTCAATTAATAAGAATGAAGTGACAAATGATAGGTATTTTAATTTTCCATTAAGCTGTAATGGCTGTCCCGTTAACTGCTGGTATAATGTGAATTTATTATTGATAGAGATATAGATTAATGATGAACAGGTGTTTGAGGCTCATAGTAATAGGTATTGTGATGGTTTAAAGTTACAAAACATAACATCACGCCTTTTATCTCCGAAGGGGTAGGCAGAGGTGCACATTATGCCACTGTACAATGTAACACCCACTTTTCACTATTTATGTTGAGTCCCATGTAATAGGGGGTGAGCCTATTGCCATATACCGGGTACAATTCCAGACTCCGTGCTACTACTGAGAATTTGGTTTAAAGTTTTCATTTATAATATCACAGCAAAACTGTGGAATGATCTGTCGTCGGCGGTATTTTACCGATACTACCTTCAAACCAATAAAAAAGAGCGTATTCATTCTTAAAAGGCCGGCAACGCCCATGCTACTCCTCTGGTGCTGCCGGTGTTCATGGGCGGTGCTGTTCGCTTACCATCAGGTGATCTGTCTACTCGTTTGCCTATTCCATTAAAAATAACCTTACCGTCAATAGCTTTCCACACATACATACATATACTTAATCTTTAGCTCTTTCATCTTCCTATAGAAAGAGATGTACGGTTTCAGAACAATCTATTAATCTCCAACCAAATTAAATAACAACAACAACTTCCCCAACTTTAATGAAGAAATCAAAAACAATAAATAACTCACCCCGTCCACCAGTACCTACGGAACTACAAACAAATGAATATTTATTGGTGCATTTTTTAACCAATAAACGGGCAGCTGGCGACGTTATGAATAAACTGGTCCAATTAGTGTGGTGTTTAATTACGACTCCCTTTGTCTTATACAAAACAATGGATTTTTTTAAGGGTACACCCTGGTATTTGCTCATGAATCAGCTGTAATTAAAGTCGTAGAATGGGAATGTTAATTTTTATTGACCTCGGAATTTTGTTCTGGATGATATAATGTGAGATAGAGACATTGATTTTACTTCAGAAAAGAAAAGTTGAAATATGTGTGTGACAGGGGAAGCTCGTCATGGTGTTGGACTTACTAAAACTGTCATAAGACCATAAGATAAAACATTATGTTAAAGAAGTTAGTTAGACAGTTGGAAATCGTACAATTGATAAACATGAGCACTAACTTATAATAACCACCGTGAGACATGCTGAATGAAATAAAAATTGACTTACTCACGTAAGTATATTGAGAAAGCTCTATTAGTTTCGAGTCACAAACGGACTTTTTCTCATGACCAGCGTTCACGGTCGCGGTGATGTAGGGTCAGTATATAGAGGTACATATGTGTGAGTATTCGTATTTTTAGTTAATTTAAAAACTTATACATACTTTACAAAAACGTAGGTAAAAATAATAAAAATAAATATTTTTAGAATTTCAACCAGCCAAAACAAAAGAAAACATAATTGAAAATTCAATAAGTGAAATGTAATTAAAGAGTATGAATAGCTATGTGTAATCTAATTGCCAACCCTAGTGAGTAATTATTTCGCCATAGAATCGCTTCGTACGTTCAATATACGACACATGGTGTAGTTCCCAGGGTTGTTACACAATTTGAATTTATTATTGGCCACTCGCTCGATCATGATGATTTAAAGTGAACATTTTGAATTACAAATTGTATTTATAGTATGTTGATATTTGTGAAGTGTTGGTAGGTTTTGTTAAAGACTGCCTCGTTGGCCGAGTGGTCACAAGTGCGACTACCGGGCAAGGGGTCCGGGTTCAATTCCTGGGGCGGGCAAAGTATTATTGGGTTTTTGAAAAATTTCCCAGTAATGTCCTGGAATTGTGCCCGATACGATACATTGTGCATTGAGGCAATAGGCTCACCCCCTATTACATAGGACTCATAACAACAATATTGAAAACTGGGTGTTACATTGTACTGTGGTATCAAGTATCGTAATGTGCACCTCTTGCGATCCCTTCAGGGATAAAAGGCGTGATCTTATGTTATGTTGTTTTGTTATGAAGAAATAAATGACTTTAGAAATTAGCGGATAAAAGAATGGTTTACGGACCACTGTTGGCAAAGTCACTAAGTTACTGTTCTGTAGTTTTTGCCACTGTAGCTGCTAATACTGTAGAAAAATAACCAAGATATTAAAATTTCAAATAAAGATCGTCTCACAATTTTAGAATCAGATGATCATGACTCATGCCTTCTCCGTTTTTTAGCACTAGAAAAGCTACTCTATAGGTTGATGATGACGATGACGATGACACAGAAATTAAGAAACGTGTTTAAATAAAAGACAAAAATCGTCATCACTTAGATTAAAAACCAAAAACTTATCTCACCAACCAATTTATCTCAAAGTTTATAAACTTAAATAAAAAACTACTAGAAGCAGATATTTCACAAAACTTAGTTACTGCAGAAGCTGGTAGTTCTCCAGATATTATTATTATCCTTTGCAGACGAACAGATAAACCGATCGCAGAGTTTCTTACTGAAATATGAGAAAAGTAAAACAATTCTTTTTAAGGTTTAATGGAAAATGATGATCCGATAGTTGGTGAACTTGCCTGATCTTTTATAAGAATACAATGATGTAGAAGATTATAAATGATGTTTTTGTACACACTATCTGTGTTTAAGAAATTAGAGAGTTATTTTTCTATATAATTATTTAAAATTCTCTAAAATTACATTTTTAATACCATTTACAAAATAAAAAAATATTATTAAAAATATAAAAATAGGAGCTGACTAGTAGTGGGATCATTGTCCAAGCTACCGGTGGTTAGGGCTCCAGAGACAGAAACTTCTTCCCGATACGTGCCGTTTTAAGGAGAACTGCCTTCTGTATCCCTTGATCCGTCCACCTAAGCCAGCCTCTTAAGATGAGTCTGGTGTTAGTCTTAAACTATGATAAATGTGAAATTTTTATTTAAAGTAATTTATTCCCAATATTAATCTGACAATGAAAGTTGATTTCGATATTATTCGATAAGTTTATGAAAATAATAAGTCGTTACGAATTACTATTATCTGTAGTAGTGATAGCAGTTACTTGTATTTAAGTTTAAAGGTCCTAATATTGACCTTTTAAACTTAATTTAGATTCATATCACACTTAGAGCCTAATAGACTTTAGAATTCCCAAAAGGTAGACTTTCGATAGTTACTCCAAATTCATATTATTTTGTCTAGCGGTCCTTTGAAGAATATTATTAATGCAAATTCGGAGATTTTGAAATAAGAGGGTTTTTGGAAATTGGCCGTCTTTTTGGTAGTAATGATAGGGAAAAATCTTACTATCAGTATCATATCAGCCACAATTTTTTTACTGCTGGAAGCATCCATCTCCCAAAGTCTTCTAGATGAACTGATTGGATCAGGGTCATACTATAGAGTCAGGGTCCATATAGGTAGAAGCATTAAAAATGCCTTAACATAAATTTGTCAATAAATACTTCAATACAAAATCTTTTGCTAAGTTTTGAAACTCCAAGTAAATAAGGTCGAAAATTCAGTAACTACCATAGGCAATGGAGCGGCAGCATAGAAAATAGCATTCTATTTACACGGCCGGTGTTCAGAAGCGGTCATGGTCAAAAGCCTCCAGCCCACAACGGTTGTATACGTGTATATTTTATGACGTCATGGTCCGAGAATAAAGATGACGTACCAACGAACTGAAGCATATAACGGACCATAGGGTCTCGATAATTTAGTGAAAGAAAAGTCTGGTGAAGAAATGAGTCAATTGGAAGACAGATTTGACTCGTAATAAAAGTTCTGATTGGAAATTAGTTTAAAAAGCAATGAATTTAAAGTTACAGAACGATATTTATCGACCGAAATCTTTTAAGTTATAGATTTATTGTGGAATAAATAGACATACAGAAAGTACGTAAGTAAGTCTCAAAACAGTCCTCTTTCAGTAAAACTTGCAGGACTAAAATAAAATGAACCTTAAACATGAACTCGCAAGTACATTAGCTTCATTTCTCCTCGATTCTGGTTTCCGTCTACCCTTAATGTCATATCAGTTTAACAATACAAACATCTGGCTACTGGTAAAGTGTTTATCCAATATGTTTTACGAGTAATAATAAGTTGTAAGGAAACTTTCACTGCAGCGTCTGTGGTTCGATATGAAAAAAGTTTGTTTTTACATTTATTAACAAACTTCGAGTGGTTGTGCGTTTGCCTGTAAGGAAGTTAATTACGTCGTTTATTTTTAATGAAATCATAAATTGGGCATATCGTAAAATTCACTCTCCATTGAGGTTCGAACAGATGAAATGTTTATTGGAAGAAACAAAATTTTAAGTGTGCTTGTCTAGTACTTTTTTAAACAGTGTTATCCTGTGTAAATATTTTTTATTCTAACTACGAATAATAAATACTAAAACATCTCTTACGTCTTCGTTATCATATAGACAACCAATATAAATCAATTAAAATATTATGTATCCTTAGTTTTATGTCACATAAGGTTTTAACCACCTCTCTAAAAAACGATGACGTTCTTCTCGATGACGACTGGTATAAATCAGTAGATTACTTGTACTAGTACTTAAAACAATAGCTTATGGTCATGTAAAGATATTAGAATACACGTTACTTAAATTCTTGTTTTTGCAGGTATCAGCAGTAGTAGACGATGTCTACTCAGATCACTCCCACGTGGCTGGTTCCTTCACCATGCTGGCTTCGTCCAGGGCCCACGTTGGAGGGTCTCTCAATGCCCGTGCTCTCCCTGGAGCGAGGGTGCATACCAACTTCATTGGATGTCTGAAGAAGGTAAGGGAATGAGTACAAGTTTGATTTGGTTTATTGGTAGTTGGGAAAGTATTGATTTTGTTGTTTAGGGAATAAAGAAAAGTTTTTTTTTCAAAAACTATGACAATTAGCTGAATCGAGATTTCGTTAAGATTACCTAACATATATTGTGTTCTTTCACTATAAGAAATCATTCTTTGATGATTTAAACTTTGAGGTTTTAAAAGTTTCTATACATAATCTAACATAACATCACACCTTTTATCCCCGAAGAGGTAGGCAGAGGTGCACATAGAAGTAACACCCACTTTTCACTATTTATGTTATGAGTCCCATGTAATAGGAGTTGACTCTATTGTAATATACCGAGCAATTTCCAGACTCCGTGCTACTACTGAGATTTTTTTTAAAGTTTCTTTAAGATAACAAAAATACATGTATCAAGCAAGCCACGTTTATCACAAAGGCGTAATATCAATTCTACATAAGTTTACATTTATGCGATACTTTAAATATGAGAAATATTTTCTAGACTTTTATTCACCGTCGCACAAAAATGCTTTTACTACAAATTCAATATTCAGTTTTAAAATAGCAAAGCTATACTAAGTTCGCTATTTTTAAAGAAAACTGCACGCGACTCCATATTGGAATATGTGATTTTTGTTAAAATATCAACAGTGCATATTTAGATTGTATCGCTTTTGTTTGTGCATAGTTTGAATTTTGTTTAAAAGCAAATCACTATATATTTTACAATTTATTTTTTTGATATAGGTATACAAAACATGTTTTTCGTTTTACACATTTTGTGATTTTATTTTGGTTGAGCATAGATATTGGAAGTCTAGTACTAAATGGAATTATAGAAGTCGACAGAAAAACTTATAAAAACGATACCTCGTCTTCCAACGGACGGTTTTGCCCTTTATAATCATCATCATCAACAGCCTATAAATACCCACTGCTGAGCTTATTTAATAACTATTTTGTTGATAAAATCCAACCATCCCACTTGCATTGCACTGGAATTTGTAAATATATTACAAGTAAAAAGGACTCAATGTTTATGGCTCCGAGTGTGCCACAAGACATAGTAAAAATTATTAAATCTTTGAAAAATACTAACAGCGTAGGATGCGATGGTTTTAATACTAAGATTATTAAAGAAGTATCATACGAAGTATGCCAACCTTTAAGTCATATAATAAACCTAAGCATTAGTAAAGGTATATTTCCAGCCGCCTTAAAGAAATCTATAATAAAGCCATTATTTAAAAAACAAAATAGGGAACTAATGGAAAATTATAGACCAATTTCGTTGATACCAATTATTTCTAAAATATTTGAAAAATACATATACAAAGAGTTAAATACATATTTTGAAAAACATAAGTTATTTTGTGACGAACAAAAAGGTTTCAGGGCAAATAAAAGTATAAACATGGCGATCTATGACTTTCTTTATAAAGTGATGGTCAATGTAGATAAAAAAAATCCAGTATGTTCGATTTTCTGTGATATGACCCAAGCCTTTGACTATGTGCATCATAATACCCTACTAAAAAAATGGAAAATTATGGGGTACGAGGAAATATACAAAATCTTTTAAAATCTTATTTATCAAATAGAAGGCAAGTTACAGAAATCAGTAGACTCAATAGACTAAACGAGAGGAAATATATACATCACATGAACGTCAAGTGACATATGGCGTTCCACAGGGAAGTGTTTTAGGCCCCCTTTTATTTACGATATTATAAATGACTTTCCGAAAAGTATAGAACATACCATGTCACTTTTCGCGGATGATAGCACTATAACCATACCATGTAGAATAAGAGAAGAATACAACAATGACATAAATAGTAGTTTAATTAATGCCATAGACTGGTTAAACAATAATAACCTAAAATTAATCTGAGTAAAACTGTTATCATGCACTATAGTACAAGACCGAATGCATCAATTAGTTCGGACATTACATATAGAAATAATACTATTGAATCAGTAACATCAACAAAATTTTTGGGTTTAACAATAGACCAAAATCTGAACTGGAAAGCTCATATAGAAAAACTTGCGAAACAATTAAGTAATAGAGCATATGCTTTACACAGATTGTCTCAAACAATACATATAAACACGTTATTAATTGCGTACTACGGATTAGCTGAATCTATTCTCCGTTACGGGATCATTTTTTGGGGCAATTCAGTGGAATGGGCAACCATTTTTAGGGCACAGAAAAGATGTCTGAGATCAATGTTTACACTTAAAGTTACTGATAGTTGCAGGCCATACTTTGAACAGTATAGGATTCTCACAATGCCATCGTTATACATTCTCGAAATAGTTTTATTTGTTATGTATAATTCTCATTTATTTCCGCGTCTTGAGGATAAAACTCAGCGCAACAGGCGTGATTATACAAAACTTTGTCTTCATCCTTGTAAGACCGCGCTTATGCGCAGAAATGTATTTTGCATGGCACCTATAATATTTAACAAATTGCCAAAATCATGGAGAGAACTAGGTGCCAACCATATCAAGCGAAAGCTTAGACTTTTTTTATTACAGAAGGTCTACTATAGTGTCACCGAATTCTTAAATGACACAGTTATTTGATTGAAGTAAGACATGGCTATTATTTTATAAATTATGATTATTTTATTGGTTGTGATTGTTTCATTGGTTATGCGATTCTTACTATGAGTGTGACATATTGTACGAATTTAATTATGACATAACTGTATCTATAATTTTAATTTTGACATACCTACCTACATACATTTTTATTTGACATTTATGAATGTTTAACGCTGATAATATGATTAATACTTACAAAAAAATTTGCATGCCATGACAAGTGGTAAACATGTATTAAGTGCAACTGTTCTATTTTTTATCATCCTACATACATGCACCTGCGTGTGTGTGTATGTATACACATGTTTTTGCGAATAAATTTGATTTGATTTGATTTGATTTGATTTGAGCAAAGCCTCTTCTCACACCGAGAAGGTTTGAGCATTAATCACCACGCTTGCTCAATGTGGGTTGGCGATTACAAACTTATAATTAGAAATTATAAGCCCAGGTTTCCTCACGATGTTTTCTTTCACCGTTTGTCAGTGGTGTCTAAATAATCTTAGAAAGTACATATAACTCGGAAAAAGTCACATTGATACTTGCTGTTGATAGGTTTCGAACCCACATTTTCATGCATGAGAAGCCAGCGTCTTAAACCTCCGGGCCACCACGACATACTTTGCCCTTTATAATGAATTAAATCAATATAAAGCTACTACTCTCACTTCTAAGCAAAGTTCTAGATATTCAACTCTCTTACACTAGTTTCATTCTAATCTTCTGCGACCAGGTGGAATTCTCAGCGGACACTCTTCGCCTGAACCTCATCGACCTGGCGCGCACTGGCAGCAAGCTGATCACCGTCACTGGCCGCCTAGAGTACGCCTGCACAGCCACAGATTCTGCTGATCCTGTTACCTTCACCACTAGAGACGCGCATTTGGTAAGTGGAGACTTTTTGGACTATTTTGTGACTTTACTTATGTTTGATAATAATTCAAGTATAATGAGTGAAAATAACAAATAAGTTTTTTTCAAAAAGATATTCTTAGATAAATTACTCTTTCACAAACTTTTTGTAGAAAAAATATGCATTGTAAAAAACACTATAAAATAAGCACTAAGTACAAGTAATGAAAATAAAGTAGTAGGTAATAATCTCTAAACTATGAATAGGGAAGATGACAAATTTTTATATTAATGTCCGTGTGATAGATTATTTAAAAACATTAGTTGCGTATTTTTTATTTTCTTACGTAAACGAATAGTTTCAAAGATATATGATGATTTGAAATATCGCATGACGTCACTTTTGAGTACGATTTATACTCTGAAATGACGTACCTACCTCCCACCCCTAAACTTTAATTCATTTTATCTATGTATTGTTTTTTTATACGAAAAGATAAAAAAATACGTGTCCAATATTTTTTCAATACCTAGATAACTGACGGACTAATTAGATTTTTAATTTTCATAACCTGTCATCATCCCTATAGTACATTTCCTGAGTGAAATTGCATCACAATCGGAATTAGAATTTTTGTACCGTAGATTCGTAAAAAAGTAACTACTTTAATTTTATTTTTTATTCTTATAACTTTACTTATAAACAACGACACAGCGACAGAGTATTACTATAGCAAGGGATTCTAATGTCGGCCATAATGACTTCCTACATCTTCATTTAAAAAGGACGACGTAGAATTAAATCGTTGCAGTAGCTTGGTCGATGCCACCCACAATTAACGACCACGATTGCAAGTACAGATTTTCATTCAACGTCACAAGAAACCTTAATTAAGAGAAAAAGTGCTTGAGAAGCAATGAAATACCTGGATTACAACTGAACATTCTTTGGATAGATATTAGGTGTTTAAAGTGATCCTCTTACTCGATAGTGGAACAATTTATAGCAAAAACACACCTTTTGTTTTTTTATCCCTATTGGCTAGGCTACCATAAATTTTTACAGCGAAACTAACCAAACAAGCGTCACAAGGTTAGCCCATTCACAGTTAAAAACAAACATTTGACAATTCATCGAATCCAATATGACGAACATTATCAATATTTGCGTCCAATAATAACCCAAACAAACCGTAAACGAACATTTTGATCAGCCAATACAGCGTTTCGATAACAAAACGCATCCCAGAAGCACTCAATTCATTACTAAACCGTCCGTCGGATGGTCACAAAACTAAGTACCAATTAAAAACAATGGAAGCTTGGAAAAATCGTGTGGAAACCCCACCCGTTTAAGATGACCGGCGGTCTTTGGAGAGCACTTTAGAAAGCGGACTCTTGAATTTGGTCGAGTGTCACCGGGAACCTGATTAGATCGAAGTGGTGGTTATTTGATTTGAGTTAGGGATGGGTTAGACTATTGATTGAATGGAACGGGTGGCCCGATGGCTGTTAAGTTTCATGTGATTTCGGAACGAATGATTTATGATTTAAGGTGACCATTTCAGAACATTTATGTAGAGTAATTATTGGTTATTTGTGAAGGTTTATGACGAGAAAGGTTATGTATGGAGATCTTTTAAGACCCTGAATACTATTCAATGTGATTTATAGCCATTTAGGCCTTAGGTAGTAATACTGGGTGCTTAGTAACTTGAGTGAGGTAGGTCCCGCCACTATTAAGATATTTGTTTGAGAAGCACTTAATTTTTACATAGAATTTTCTTTACCTTCCATAATAAAAAGCAAAAGCTTGTTTTTACTCGTAAAACAGTATAATGCCATTATCATACATAGGTCATTCGTAAGTATTCTGAATAAGAACTTCCAAGAATTGCCACCTTGTAAATTCGAGCCAATTTATTCAAATAGGGCCAATTCATATTTACTTTCAACTTGACGTCACAGAGGGCGCTGAATTCGCTTTAAGTCACCTAATGTGTTTATACCAGTTCACAGTAAAAGCATTACGTATTCAGTGACTTCAAAATAAGTACTGACGACGGCACATTACACTATAATGATCCAACGTAAGCTGGGCTGGTATTATGTTGGTTTTTGTTGAGTTAGAGGTCAGAATATGTTGGACGGTAGAGTTTGATGTGCGAGGCGATTAAGTGACCTTTTAGTACAAACAGCGAATGCTTGGTTATTGTACTGTTGTAGTGTAGTGATCTAAGAATGTATTAGTCGTAATCTAGACTTCATCTATTAAACACGTGTATCCTAATTAATTATTGTTTCCTTTACACCCGACACCTCATGGCGACCCTGCCAGAGGCGCGACTCGGGTACGCGCGATTATTTACATTCCGTTGCCCATAAAAGGAACCAGTATTAGGAACTCTCCAAGTAAGCTGTAGAAAGTTTCAAGGATGACGAATAGTCGACAATTATTGTTCATCGCGGCGCCTGTTTACGGGGCGTTACACCGGTTTCACAGTCAAACACCGAATTTTTTAATTTACAATAATGGGGAAGACCATTTCTAAGGAAGAGCTGATAGTGATCGCACAAAATGCTGGCAGATCGAATAATGCTGATATTACCCAGTTTATGAGCCATGCAAGTACTACGAGTATAATACTTCTTATGATTGTGGCCATGTTTATTTGTGGAGGTGCTTGCTACGTACTGCTGATACTATATAGAAAGTGTCAAAGACATCTTATGCGGCAGGAGATATTACGACATTCTCTACGTCGAGGAACGACTAGGGCGAGAGGTGCTCAGAATACCGCTGAAGTTTCATACAAGGTTGGCGAAGTGTAAATGTAGTGTTGTGCGCGAGTATGGTGAAATCGATTGCTCATAAATGAGTACAAGTGAATTGTGTTTGTGCAAGATTAGGAAAAGTTTTTCTGATACAGTCGATATCAATAATATAAACTTTTACTCTCGTATAAAGACAATAAGTTACTAGTGTAAGACTGTTACGCCTGGTTTATTATTATGTTCGCGTTGCAATAATATTGAAGTGCATTTCCATTTGTGTAATTTAAAAGGTAATGGCCCATCGTCTTAAAGACATTTATGAAAATTTTAAAAGTATAAAGGAGTATTTAACTAAGTTAGGGCCAAGTCGTAGAACTCAAAACATTATCGAGAAAAAACTGAATGAGACTAATATTATACATGATAATTTTTTAATTGTGAAATCAAATTTAGATAAACAAATTAAAAGGAAGGACTTTACGAGCAGTGATTTAGAGACAATTCAGAACCTATGTACGGATATTAGTAGTTTATATGCTCGTATAATACAACTTTGCTGTAGTGACACGCAAAAGAAAATTGTCAAAATGGAAAAATTCCAATTAAAAACGGCGGTAGCTCTATTACCTGTAATGAATTCTGACGAAAAAATTACAAAGAGTCTCATTTCGGCAATTGAACTTTATTCCTCTATGATAGAAAAGGATGACGAACAGTTGTTAATTAATTTTGTATTGAAGACCCGTCTTTCCGATAGTGCGAAACTACGTTTACAACAAAGTTATTCCTCCTGTGATGAACTACTTAAAGAAATGCGTTTACATTTATTAACTAAAAAATCTAGTAATGCTGTTCACGCAGAAATGGTTAATTGTGAACAGAAACTAAGTAGCATTGATGAATTCGGAAAGAAAATAGAACAACTGTTCGTTGACCTAACTATTGCTCAGGCCGATGGCAATACACAAGCTTTTGCCATTCTAAAATCGGTCAACGAAAAGTTAGCTATTAATAGATTTATAAATGGTTTACGTAACAAAAATTTATGTGTGATCTTAGCAGCACGAAATTATACTACTCTTAAAGACGTCATACGTGCGGCAAAAGACGAAGAACAAATAGGTAAAGGCATTGCGAATTCAACGGAAGGCGAAATAATGATGGTTAACAACGAAAAACCTGGTGAGTCAAATACACAGAGCCGTTTTTTCAGAAATTCATCGTATTATCACGGGAGAGGCACCCGGGGAAACTATCAGCGAGCTCCCCGAGGCTATTACAATCAAGGGTGGCAGCGACAGTCAGGTAATAATAACAACCGTGGTCGTAGTACATACAGGGGGCAGAGAGGAAGATACCAAAATCGAGGTATGTACCCTTTAAATGCAGATCTTTTAGAAGTTAATGAAATATCTACTAAAGACGATATTCAATCCTCTACTGCGGAAAACAATACGAATATGTTTTTTCGTGCCTAATTTACTGTCATGTGAATTTAGTAATTATGTCAAAATCCCCTATAACAACGTAACTTATAATTGGTTAGTAGATTCTGGTGCCAGTATATCAGCCGTAAAAAGCGAGACAGTTGCTCAATGGAATTTACCCATCCATAAACAAAATATTATCATAAATGGTATTGGGGGTCGTATAAAGTCAGAAGGATATGTGTGCTTAAAACTATTTTTAAAAGACAATATATTTGAGCATAATTTTTATGTTATTAAAAATCTACCATGTTTCGCTGAAGGTATATTAGGCCAAGATTTTCTTACTAAGCATAGATGTATCTTAAATTATGAACTTAATACCTTAACTATACTCGAAAATACATCCTTACCATTACATTTGGGCCAATTAAATCACAATATTCCTTTAAAGGTACCACCAAGATGTGAAAAAGTTTTTTACATTAATACTACCGCAGTTGAAGATTGTGTAGTAATCCCAGAGGAGTTAGGTGAAGGAATATATTTAGCTGGTGGTATTGGAAAACCAGTAGATGGTAAAATTCCAATTCAAATTCTAAATACTAGTGAACAAGAAATATCTTTGAATTATTTTGATCCTAAATTAGAAAAGCTACGTGATTATGAGATATGTAACTTTGAAAGGTCTACAATAACAGTAGATAGGGTAAAAATGTTATTAAATCAACTAAAATTAGATCATTTAAATGACGAGGAAAAATCTTCAATACTTAATATATGCGCTAAATTTTCAGACGTTTTTCATATTTCTGGCGACAAATTAGAGGTT